CGTCAGTAGAAAGGAGTACCATCTCCCTCCCACCGGATCGAGCCACGTGGACTGCGTTAAGGGCCCTGATGGTATTGTCCCGGGCCTCACGGCCGGGTATGAAACCGACCTGGTCCGGGTGCACAATCTCCGGCAGGATCCTAGCCATCCGTAGTGCCAGCGCTTTGGCAAACACTTTAAGGTCCGCATTGAGCAAGGAAATTGGTCTGTAGCTGGCACAGTCCATGGGGTCTTTGCCCTCCTTCGGGAGGATCGTAACCGTTGCCCTCAATGTGTCTTCATGAAAGCGGCCTTCCTCCCGTAGGGAGTTGAGCCCTGCGACCAGTCGGGGTAGGAGGATATCCCTGAACGTCCGTAAATAAGAAGCTGGTAAGCCGTCCGGCCCTGGTGCCCTGTGAGTCTTGGTGGCCTTCAGCGCCGCCGCTAGTTCCTCCACCGACAAAGGGACCTCCAGTTCCGCCTCCTGCTCCGGAGTGAGTCTGCGTGTAACATGGGTTTGTAAGTACTCTACTATCCTCTCCTTATGTTGCCGTACCTCTGATGCTGTGCGGTGTTTCGTTTGGTCGTAAAGAGCCGCATGATACTCCTGGAATGCCGACAGTATGCCATTTGGGAGGCGTGTAGTATCCCCATTCCCCGTGCGTATTTTATGGACATGGAGCATCCTGCGTTTTTCCTGGAGCATCCGGGCTAACAATCTCCCGCACTTATTGGAGTGTTCGTAGAAGAACCTAGAGGCCTTCCTAGCGGTGAGTAAGAACCCCTGCGACAGAATCTTTTGCAAGTCCCTACGTGCCTCCACCAGTTGGAGGTAGGTGTCCTCAGCTAGGGTTTGCTTATGAGTTCCTTCTAAGTCAGCGATACGCTTGGTCAAGCTGGAAATGCGAGCTCGTCTGTCTTTTTTGCGTTTGGTGCTCTCGGAGATGAAGAAGCCACGGATGACGCATTTGTGCGCCTCCCAGAGCCTTAGAGGAGTCGTATCCGCGGTATCGTTGGTGGTGAAGTACTCTGACAGGGCACGAGTCGCGGACTGTGTGAGAGCCAAATCATCCAGCATAGTTTCGTTGAGCTTCCATTGTCGTTCGCTGGGCTTAAAGAGCGGGGAATTCGTATGAACCAGGACCGGTGCATGATCCGAGTGACCTATAATGCCTATTTCCGCTCCCTGCAGGAGGTTCAGAAATTCTTGTGCAAGGAAGATGTAGTCGATACGGCTGTATTGTGCATGCACCGCAGAATAGTGGGTGTAGTCTCTCCCCTCCGGGTTGCAGGCCCTCCAACAATCTACCAAGCCGGCTTTGTGCAAGGCACGCTGGGACAGCCGGATACTTGCCGCCGGGACCGCGGTCATGCCCCTGGAAGTATCCATCCGGGGTTCCAACGGGATATTAAGGTCGCCGCCAAGGACCAGGAGTCCCTCCCGGAATCTCTCTAGTTTAGCAAGTGTTCGGGATATGAAGGTGTGCTGGCCCCTATTTGGGCAGTATATGCATGCGAAGGTATAGACATGATCCGCTATGGAGCCCTTTAAGAATAGGTATCTCCCCATCGGGTCCAATTGGGACGCTAAGTGAAGGAAAGGCGTCGTCTGGGCGAAGAGAATAGCCACCCCCGCTTTTTTGGCTGTTTGGTGATTGGCATAAAACCCCAACGGGAATCGCCGATTCTCCAGTTTAGGTGCATCTCCCCCCTTAAAATGCGTCTCTTGCAGGAACGCCACGGATGCTCTTGCGGCCCACAGCTGCCGCTGCAATTGTGATCTTTTTTCCGGAATGTTAAGCCCATGAACGTTATTAGACCAGTAGGTCAGCCGCGCCGGAACGAAGCCCCGACCGGGTGCCATCGCTACAACGGCGGAGCGCCCCCACCCCGGCACAGCTGGGAGCGTAGGTAAGGAAAGGTGTGGGAGGTCCAGTACTGATAACAGTAGGTCTTAGTCTCACCGCCCTCCGTGGGCAACGTCGACCCGGAGCCGGGAAAGTAGAATCCTCACCCGGGTGAAGATGTCCGTGTGAGGAACCCCGGCTCTATTTACAGTGCGGGTCTGTCACAGTAGGGATCAAAAGGGCCCCTCACTGTCCTGGCGTTTCCGTGGAATGTAGTGGTCGTAACTGCCGCAGTGTCCGTCGGCCGTCACCCTGTGTGTCTAACGTGCGAGAATCCAGAGGCTAAAACACTAATAACTGAAAGAAAACATGTGAACTGCCCCATCTAACAGCCCCCCTGGGGGTGCGGCTTGCGTGTGCCCTCAACCCGCCCCCAGCCTGTGCCCCCCGCTTGCCACCGACCTGTCTTGGGTCCCCGCCCCTCCCCCCCTTGACCGTAATAGATTGAGCTAGGAGTGCTCCCCTCTCTAGCCCCCAGCCCCAAGAAAGAAAACCGTAAAGCACCCCAATACCTCCCTACCTCGCAATCGCCCATCAGCCCAACCGGTGCCTAGGTACCCGCATAGTGGTAAGATGCCCATCCCATGCCTAAGACTTTCCCGCGGGTGAGTCGGGGTCCTCCTTCGTATGTGACTGAGCCTCCATCCACCTCCTAGTGCCCGATCTAGGGTCTGCCCGGGTGCGGATCTTTCCCTCCCCCCTCCTGCGAGGACTACTGGAGGCCGTCCCCTCCCTCTTGCCCCCTCCGAAACCCAAGCAGCCACCCCCACCTAGTAGCAGCCTGCCCCTCACCCGCTCCCGTACCCCCCGTCACCCCAAACACCAAATACCCCCACCTCTGCGTGGGCCGCCACCTGGGATGACCCCAGCGTATAAGGAACAATGTAGTAGGCATGCAATATGAGAGAGGAGGAGGGGAGAGAGAGATAAAAAGATAAAAAAAAAAAAGGGGGGGGGGGAAGAGTACCAATTTGTCCCCCAAAAGCCATCGTCCCCAGCCAGACCCCAACAGCTCCACAGCCCAGTCCAGCACTTGCCCCCCTGCCCTCCCCACCTGCGGTGGAACCCACCCGAAATCTGCCCGCTACTGCCTCCACACCCCTTTAACCCTTGCCACCCAACCTAACTACCAGCCCTCCCCCAGGCAGCAAACTTCTCTAGAGCGTAGTCCACCACAGTACATACCCTGGGCTGGGGTGCCCCCCACTTCACAGCCGGGCAGCCGAGAGTCCCTTGACTTAGGGGCTGAGGTCCGATGGGAGCCCTGCCTGAACCGATAGCCCCCGGGGGACCACCACCTGGCGTAGCAGGTAACCGCTACTCTTCTGGGCCATTCGGCCCTCCTCTGCGTCGCGGCATCTCAGGATCCGGATGAAGGTTGTGTGCAGCCTCGTTGGGGCCCGATGCCCTAGCCGGGGGCTCCCCCAAAATCCAATTCGGGACAGAGATATGGGGAAGGCCCGCATTTCTGAGGAACCGGGGGACATCGTTGGGCCACTGAAGCACATGCCACATATTGCCCACCCGGGCCTGCAGGCTAAAGGGGAAACCCCACTTATACGGGATTCTTCTTTCCTGAAGCAGGCGGGTAAGCGGCCGCAGGGCCCGCCGGGTGTCTAGAGTTGTCTGCGACAGGTCGTGATACAAGGCCACCGGGGCATCCATGTATCGAAGATCAGGACGGGAGCGCGCGGCCTTCATCAATTCTTCTTTGAGCGGGAAGGACGTCAGGGCGCAGATCATGTCCCTCGGCATCCCATCACGTCGGGGCGCCCGCAGAGCCCTATGCGCCCGCTCAATGCCAAAATCGTCTGGCGCTGTCTCCCCCAACAATTGCGAAAACAGGCCGGTGAGTAGCTCATATGGATGCTCCCCTTCTGCCTCCGGCAGCCCCCGGATCCTAATATTGTTCCGCCGGCCCCTATTGTCGAGATCTTCGACCTGCCTGCGGAGGGCTAGGAGCAGGTTCCCCTGCCTGGTGGTCGCAAGGTCCGCGGCCTGTTGCCTGTGGGTGGTCTGAAGATGCTCAGCATCCAGGGCGT